GTCTGCATTTTTGGGCAAGGAAGACGCCCCCCCCAAACCATCCAAGAGAACACATTCACAGGATGTTTGGTATCTTGACAAGACCTAAAGATGCAACAAGTTGCCAATTTATAATGAGTCACTCATTGGCGCAGGCGTTCCCAAAATGGAGACTGAAAAGCAAAAGTATGAGTGCTATTTGGAAACCAGACAGACCAGATTATGAATGCTGTCATCTTAGGAGCCACTTAAACTGCCTGAGCCCATTTATCTGCAAAAGCCGGGGCGGGGGGGGGGCCAGATCTCTGCATATTGTGAAAATTAAATGAGATGTGCCTAAAATGGTCGTTCAATAGCTGACACCCAGGAGGCGCTCAACACATGACAGTTCATGGTCCCTAGTAGTGCCCAGAGCCCAAGCTGCATGGCGACCGCGAGCCATCCCCGCACTCACGATGATCTTAAGGAAGTAGTTGGACTTCCAGGTCGCCCTGTCTTCCCTGGGCATCACGGCGGTGCGTCAGGGATTGCCACGCAGGGTTTAAAGACGATGTCACTGCGGAGAAAGAGGGAGCTCAGACACCCCCCGACACCACAGCCCCACAGGGCTCCAAGCCCGAGGCCTATGCAGGGCAGACCACGCGTGAGCGCCCGCCAGCCCGGCTTGGGGCTGCCGCCGTCGCCGCCACTCAGTAAGCGCAAGCCACCGCCGAGGCCCCAGGCCGGACAAGCCCGGGCCCGCCCCCTCCCAAAATCCCACAAAGAACCCCCCATCTTTCCCGCCGCCGGTGCCCGGCGCAACTGCAACAGTACCACGAACCTCACACGAGGACGCCTGGAGAGAAGAGGGCCGTGGACCGGCGCACATCTTTTATATGTGAACGAAGCGGCCAATCAGAAGACGCGGACAGTGTCCCCCAGCTATTGGCTGTCGCCGACGCCTGTCTGATGACGCTTAACTGATATAGACAGCCATTGGATGATATTGCTACCACTCCAGCCAACGGGAAGCCACCTTTAAATAAAGCTGTTAAGGAAGGCGCCGCTTCATGCTGGAGCCGCTGTCTCAAAGCTGCTTCCCTCTGCTGGTCTGGAGCTGCTCGCGTTCAGGAACTAGAGCTTGGATGCTGAGCGTTCAAGTTTTCTCCGCCACTTGGCCAAATCGCAAAACTTAAAAAGAGTACGATGCAGAGATGAGGAATAATTGCACATGCTTTAGAAACAGCATGGTCTCTTGTCTACTCTATAGTTTGTTCTTCCGCTACGAAAACAGAGGAACCCTTTAAAACCTAAATCAGATCATTACCTCATCTGCTCAAAATTCCTCAAAAGTTTCCCATTTCCTCAGAGTAAAAGCCTAAAACTTAAACTGCCTACAAGGCCCTACAGGATCTGCTCTGGACCTCCACCCCTATAATCTCATCTCTTTTCCTACTGACTCTCCCTTCCAGCCAGACGATGCTCTGTGCTGTTTTTCCAAAGCATGCTCCCACCTGAGGGGTCGTGCACTAGCTAGTCCATCTTTCCGGAAGGCTCCTTGCTGATATCCACAGAATTAACTACAAGTCTTGACTCGAATATCATGTGCTCAAGGAGGCCTACCCTGATCGCCCTATTTAAAATTACCCAAAAGGGCGCCTGGGTGGCTCAGTTGGTTAAGCGACTGCCTTCCGCTCAGGTCATGATCCTGGAGTCACCGGATGGAGTCCCGCGTCGGGCTCCCCGCTCAGCGGGGAGTCTGCTTCTCCCTCTGACCCTCCCCCCTTCTCATGCTCTCTCTATCTCATTCTCTCTCTCAAATAAATAAATAAAATCTTAAAAAAAAAAAAAAAAGAGGGCGCCTGGGTGGCTCAGTTGGTTAAACGACTGCCTTCGGCTCAGGTCATGATCCTGGAGTCCCGGGATCGAGTCCCACATCGGGCTCCCTGCTAAGCAGGGAGTCTGCTTCTTCCTCTGACCCTCCCCCCTCTCATGTGCTCTCTCTCTCTCTCTCTCTCTCTCATTCTCGCTCTCTCAAATAAATAAAATCTTTTTAAAAAAATAAATAAATAAAAAATAAAAAATAAAACTCCAAAATTACCCAAAAAATCCACTACCACTCTCCCCTGACTCTATTTTTTCGGTAGCATTTACACCTTTTTCTCTTTTTTTCTTTTTTTAGTACTTTACACCTTCTAACACACTATATAACTTACTATGTTGTGGTTGTCTGTCACTCCCTGCAAGAATGCAAGCTCCACAAAGCAGAGACGTTAGTCTTGTGCCTGGCACATAGCAGGCATATAATAAATATCTGTTGAGCAAATGAATGCAAGGTTGCAGTCAGAAGACCTGGGTCCATATCCTTCTACCATTTGCTGTGTCATCTTAGGAAGTGATTTCACCTTGTTGAGCCTCTGTTTCCCTTTCCTTAACTGTAAAATGGGGATAATGAAGTATCTACATTCTAGAGTTGCTATCAGGATTAAATGAGATATGTGTTAAGACTTAACACAGTCGGGGCGCCTGGGTGGCTCAGTCGTTAAGCATCTGCCTTCGGCTCAGGTCATGATCCCAGAGTCCTGGGATCGAGCCCCACATCAGGCTCCCTGCTTGGCAGGAGGCCTGCTTCTCCCTCTCCCACTGCCTGCTTGTATTCCCTCTCTCGCTGTGTCTCTGTCAAATAAATAAATAAAATCTTTACGAAAGCGGGGGGGGCGCCTGGGTGGCTCAGTCATTAAGCGTCTGCCTTCGGCTCAGGGCATGATCCCAGGGTCCTGGGATCAAGCCCCGCCTCGGGCTCCCTGCTCCCCGGGAACTCTGCTTCTCCCTCTCCCACTCACCCAGCTGTGTTTCCTCTCTCACTATCTCTCTCTCTGTCAAATAAATAAATAAAATCTTAAAAAAAAAATTAAAAATAAAAAATAAAAGACTTAACACAGTCCCTGGAATGTAGGAGGAAGTTGCTAAATTCTAGTTTTATTATGCATTCATTCAACACTTATTTGAACGTGCGTCCTAGATCGATAATTTTTTTTTTCTGGTAATGACTGAGGTAGATCCTAGGGCAGAAGGGGTGTTTCTATCTTCACCCTTTCAAGTTAGAAATTTTTGTATTTCTGTTTCAAAGGCTCCTAGTGCCTCTGGTGAACAGCTGTTTAGAAAACTGGTCAAGTCAATTACTGCTAAGATCCCTTTTTAATGACAATGTATTACTGCATGCTCAGCATTGTGTTAAGTACTTTGTACACATTACTGCTGTGAATTTTGCAACAATTTCCTGAGGAGGTACAGTATTAGCATTTCCGTTTATCAGTGAGAAAATTCACAGAGAGGTTAAACAGCTTGCTCAAGCCCCAATGAACAATGGCTTCGGAACTGAAATCTAGGAGCAAGTTCAAAGCCCATGGGCCTCACAATGCTATACAGTCCCTTCCAAACCCTGAGGCTGTCTCTCCCCAAATGCACTTTTCCAAGCATATACACACTCACATCGTACCTTTCCAAGGACGTCCTGGCTCTGATGATATAAATACCATCTCTAATTGTAGTACATCAATTCAATGGAATATCATGAAGCCATTTAAAAATGATGCAGATCTATATTTATTGACACAGGAAAATACAAAGTACAGTTGAGTGAAAAAGCAAATTACAGTGAATGTGCCATATCCATTTCTATAAATGAAATAAATTCGACATGGTCTGGAAGAATAAACCGTCATCACCTTTGGGTGAGGGTTGAAGGTAATTTCCACTTTAGCTCACCGTGAAACGGTCAAGATTCCAACTAGAATTCAACATGCTGCTTTTGGAAAACCATTCCAGAGAACAGGGAAATTGTGAAACATCTCAAAGGGGAACAATGCTATTCAGGAAGGTCCTGGGGCTCAGGACTGGAGTCCTGGCTCAGACAAGAAGGAAGCATGCAAATATGGACACGACCCCTGGGGGGCGGTAGAGACCCATACGCCACTGTAAGTTCGCCAACTTCCGCTGGGAAGGTTCCACACCCAAGGTGTGGTGCCAACACGTGGGGGGGGGGGTGGTGTCTGGTCAAAGCAGGAACACAGGCAGAGGCAAGCCCTGCGTTCACAGCCTGCCTCTGTGCTCACTAAGAGGACTGTGATGTGCATGTCAGTTCTCTTCTCTGAACCTTTTTCAGGTTCTTTGTGAGGCCACCCACAGGCGCACATGATGCCCTCAGCAAATCTACAGCTGAGCACTAGGGCAGGGCCTGACCCACACAAGGCCCAACACTGCTCCCCTGCTTTTCCTCACCAACTGATGAGGGAAGAGCAAAGCTCATGAAGGAATACCATCATCCCGGGGGTGGGCGGGGTGGCTTTCTAACCTCAAGGGAACATCACTGAATTACCTTTAATATGGTCCCCATGAGTCCGGGGAGGGTTTGGTCTCTCTTTTGGTACCAAGAAAAGGAACTAGGCATGGGTGAAAATAATGGCAAACTTTATTGGCATAAATCACAGGAACTGACACGGGGAAAAGCCAGGTTAGAAGTTTACAGAGGAAAAAAATAAAATAAAATCATCAAATAACCATTGACCCAGAGGATGGACCCCAGAAACCCCAGTCCCCCTAGGGGAGGGGCCTGGGGCAGGTCACTGTAAACAGAGCAATAAGGCCTATGGGTAGAAGTGGAGACATCAGACCTTTGGAGGGGCCTGGCTGACGTCCTCAGACCGGGGCTGCTCCCAGTCCTGCCTCAAAGGAGGGGACCCTCTCCTGAGACCCCCGCATGCTCAGCCTCTGCTATGAGGCTAGTGGAGTGGTCTGGATCTTCCTCACTTTAGACCCCACGGGGGCCCCTTTCTGCTGACCCAGAACCCCAGGCCTGCCTGCTCCTGTTTCATCCATGGGGGCCAGAGCTCTGGAGGCGTCCCACTACTTTAGCAGGATCCTGTCCCTCTGCCCAGAGTCCTATCGGGCCCCCTTGCAACCACCTGGGCCCTTTCCCCAGACCTCCAGTCTCCAGCAAGGGCAGGAAGTTTGGGGAAATGACGGGCCCAGTGGAATCAACAAGACCCACGGTCAATAGCAGATACCAGCTTTCCTCAGAAGACACAAGAGCCACAGAAAAGCAATGAGGAGGCTGAGAATATTCGGTGGGTTCTCTTTGCTGCCAAAAAGTTCACAGGGGAGCAAATGCTCCTGATGGCTTACTCGGACAGGAATCAGCACCCCCAAAGTGTGCTTTCCCCTTCTCCTCCCTCAGGAATAGGACAGATGAGGTTCAGAATTCTAGGCCCCAAAGGGCAAGACACCCTGAGGCCAGTTTCAGTTAAGAGCTTGCTGGCCCAGGTAGTATCCAGGAAGGGGTTTTAAAATACAGCAGTTTATCAAACGGTCCTGGTGAGCTGTGAAGTTAAGGAAGGGGAGTCAGAGAGCTGCTCCCAGTTCACCTGCTTGTGCTAAGAAAAAATAAAATACAAATTGCTTCCCCACCCCCAAGCCCTCAGTACAAGGCAAACCCCACACCACAGCCATTGTCACCAACAGGACCCGTGGCCATGGATGAGGAGAGTACAAAAGGGGACATCTTTAAAATCTCTTCAAAATCATTTTGTATATAGAGAAGTAAAAGCAACTCAGACGATAGGAATTCAAACCTCAGTGTAGAAATCTATCAAAGTCGGTACAGTGTCCAGGCACGGGGGGGAAAACTCCCCACCTCACACCGTCCCAGAGACGGAGGAAGTGACTATAAAACATTATTGCTGGAGAGGCCTTTCTCAGTAGAACCAGAGCAGTTATGGGGGTTTGGGGGGCAGTGGCCCAGGCCTGGGGAGACCGGAAGGGCAGGAGCACAAGAAACCTTCCGCGGCCCCTCAAACACTTCCACCCTTGGATAGATGAATTTATGCTGGCATTGTCTGAAGGGAGCCGGTATCCCCCAATACTCTCAGGACAAAGACAATGAGGTCGGGGTGGGGGGAGAAGGATAAAAAAAGACCCCATCTGACCCTGCCTGCCCTTGCCCCTGGCTCCACTGCCAAGGTATGAGTAAGAGATGGCTCCAGTGTGGGGTGCTGGCCTGGCCAGGCGGGTTGGCGGGGACACACATGGTGCGGGGCGGGGCCCTCCAGCCCCCACTCCGGGGAGGACTAAGAGCTGACAGCCTGGGGAGGGCTGCAGGAGGAAGGCCCAGAGGCTCTGGCAGGGGAAAGAAGAGCAGGGCCTCTCGCCATCCTGCACCAGCCGAGGGCATGGGTTCCAGTTTCAGTTGGGTTTGCCCCTTCACCCCTGGGCAAGGCCTCTGGGTCACAGTAGCAGTTGGGGAGGCTGGGCCAGGGCAGGGGGACCATGAAGGGTGCCTAGCAGAAGAGCTTGAGGAAGCAGTTCTGACAGTAAGGCTTGTCGTTCTGCTCCTTGAAGGTGCCCTTGTTGAGCTGCTTGAGGCAGAAGGCACAGACGAAGTGCTCCGGGTGGAACTTCTTGGCCATGGCGGTGATGCAGCGGCCCGTGATGGGCTTCTGGCAGCCCGAGCAGAGCGAGCCTCGACGCTCGTGGTAATGCACCTCACAGTAGGGCTGCCCGTCGTGCTCAAAGAAGCTGCCGTTGACAAAGGGCGTGAAGCACTCCTGCCAGGCAGAAGAGGGGGCAGGGCGGAGGGCGGGGGGCTCAGGCTGGGGCTCCAGGCTGAGACAGCCACTGTCAGGCTCATGACTCCCACTGGCTAAGCACCTCCTATGTGCCAAGTGCTGCACTAAACACTTACTGCATTCTCCCAACAGAGGAGGCAACTGAGGCCTGGAAGTTCAGTGACTTGCCTGAAGTCACACAGCTACTAATAAGCTGCACAGCCTGGATTCAAAGAGAGGTCTGACTCCTGGGCAGGTGGCTGAACACTGTGCCCAGAAACCAACCTGCATACTTGGGTATAAAAGGCACTGAGGGGCGCCTGGGTGGCTCAGTTGGTTAAGCGACTGCCTTTGGCTCAGGTCATGATCCTGGAGTCCCAGGATCGAGTCCTGCATCGGGCTCCCTGCTCAGCAGGGAGTCTTCTATCTCTCATTCTCTCTCTCTCAAATAAATAAATAAAATCTTAAAAAAAAAAAAAAAGGCACTGAGAAGTCCTGAGGTGAGCAGTGTTTCCCAAACTTATCTGGTCCGAGAGCCCTTGTTGGATCCCTAATATCTGTGGACTCCCATTACCCCCAGAATACAGTCTGGAGACCACTGCCTGTTTCCACTGAAGCTGGTACTGCATTATCTCATTTCATTCTCACATGCCATTCTGCTGAACATGACGGGTCCCAGGGCTGCCGCACAGAACAAGGCTGGGGAACATGCCTACCTTCCCCTTGGTTTCTCCCAGCCTCACTGTAAGCCCTGGCCCAGAACCCACTAGACTTGAAGAATTATACCCCCTATCTGCTCACCCCTTCAATAACCCCTAAGTTAGATCCAGAGAGCACAAGGGGGTGGGAGGAACCTTCTCTCCCAGCGGCCCACTGCCAGCTCCCTCCAGATGAGGGAGCTCCTTACCCGGCACACAAAGCATTCCGGATGCCAGAGAGTGCTGAGGGCCGAGATGTAGTTCTCCAGGATGGCCCGGGCACAGCCGCCACACTTGGGCGCGAACATGTCAAAGTAATCCTTCCGGCAGTAGGCCTTGCCGTCCTTCTCATGGAACCCTGAGAAGCAGGGGTTTGGGGGGCCGAGTGAGGGCCTCTAGAGATGGAGCCATCCTGACTCTAACAGCAGCGACGTCTCCTGCCCCTGCCTCCCAAGCGCTGGGGGGGGGGGGGCAGCAAGGTGGTCTACCTGCCAGTCATACCTTCGGGACCAAAGAAGGCTCCACACTGGGCGCAGAAGAAGTGCTCAGGGTGCCACGTCCGGTCAAGGGCTGTCACCACTTTCTGTGGGAACAAAGTGTGGGATCAGAGACCCGGTGCCGGCCCACTGGCCAGATCCCACAGCAGAGACTCACCAGCAGGACTGTCCTTCCCACCGCCACCCCGCCCCCCCCCCTCCCCCCCCAGAGATCAAGTCTCTGCTCACTGTGCTCTGATTACCACCGGGAGTTCCAATTTATAGAAGGATGTGACATGCCAGACACACTCTCTCCCCTGAATCTTCCCATGCAGTTAAGGTCATAGGTTCTATTGCGACTCCCATCTTTTGAGTGGAGAAAAAGTCTCCAAAAGGCTGAGCGTTTCTCTCAACATCACACAGCAGGAGAGGGAGGGAACCAGCACTCCACTCCATTTATCAGCACAGGGCTCCTAAGCCCTGGAGTGTCCGCAGCAGGGAATCTGGGATGGGAGGTGGAAGGGAGGCAGAGGCAGAGGGGTCCTGCATCCAGCCTGGGTTTGGATCCCAGCCCCACCATTTCTTAGCTGTGTGAGCTCGGGCTTGAGTGGCCCCCCTGAGCATGAGATGGCCAGAACCACGGTGAAGAACTGGGCGGTACACCTGGCCTCCCGCCAGGCCGCAGGGACTCACATCCAGGATGGGGCCGTTGCAGTAGTAGCAGCGCGGAGAGAAGAGGTTGTGATAGTCCTTTTCACAGTAGGGCTGTCCATCCCGCTCAAAGAAGTTCCGGGATCCGATCTCCTCTTGGCAATGGGTGCAGACGAAGTGCTCCGGGTGCCACGTCTTTCCCATGGCGGTCACAACCTGGGGAAGGAGGCAGCACGAGGCTCGAGGCTCAGGGCCCTGGCCTGCCACGGAGCGCCCTCCCCAGAGGAGCCAAGTTCCGGCCACCTGCAGCTCCCTCCCCTGCTCCACCTCCACCTTCATCACCTGCCCAGCAATGGGCTTCTTGCAGGCCCCGCAGACCCCTTTGGCAACCGTGGCGACCCCCAGTTTGTTCAGGTCAGACTGCAGGCTCCCCAGCATACTATCCAGCTGGCTCCCAGGCTTCGGGGGCCCCCCAGGGGGAGAGCTGCTCCCCGTCTTCCCCTGGGCCATGAACTGTGGAGACAGGGAGAGAGGCAGTCAGGACTTCCAGGCTTGGGGATGAGGTCTCGCAGCACCGCAGCACCGGGGGCTTTTCTCCCTCCGGGACAGAGGGGCTGAGGGAGGCAAGCAGTACAACCTCCTCCAGGGCCGCTGGAGCCCGCAGCCCGGAGCCCAGAACCCGGAGCCCGCTGCCCAGAGCCCGCAGCCCGGAGCCCGGAGCCCGGGGGGTGGGAGTGGCATCCACAAGACATCCTGGCAGTCAGAGGGGCTTGAGGCACCCCACTGGCCTGACCAAGGCCCAGAACACAGGCAAGCAGGACCCTAGGCCCCCAGCCTCGGCACTGACCCCTCCCTTGTCCTGCCCTTCGGGACTGCTCTGCCTGTCGCTCAGAGGCCAGCTGGCCGCCCACGCTTCTCCATCCACCATTTGCTCCAGGCCCTGGATCTTGGATAGGGGAGGAAACGAGGACAAGAAAACTGTTTTTAATTAAGGAAGAAAGAGAAAGAGACCTCGGTATCGGACCATTTCACAAAAGGGAATCTAGGATGAGATAAGAGGATCCCCCACAGCCCCCCACGACGGGCAGTACCAGAATGAGGAGGAAAAGTCTAGAGAAAAATGACCCAGAGAGAGCAGCCCAGGGAGAGATGAAGAAGGATAAGAAGGGGAGCCATCTGAAGGCGTGGACACAGGAAAGGAAGGGTAAGCGGGGCTGAGAGCACAGAGGCCTTCCGGGGACTGGCCTGGGGGCTGCAGCGGGGGGAGCAGGTTTGGTTTCCCTTCTGGGAATGGCTTCCTCAGAGCAACCTGCAGCAGGACCAAGGGCCACGCGGAAGGGGCAGGCAGAGAGAAGCCCCACTGGAAAGCAGGAGGACAGGGTATCAAGGGGCTGGGCGCACAGACAGCAGGTTAAGAGAGGGTCCGGCGTCAAGGCAAGGTCTAAGGAAGGACTGTGGTACTGTCCTGACTCGTGGACGGAGGGCCAGAGGGGGGGTGTGGGTGTGTGTCTATGTGCCCGCAAGTGTGCAGAGTGGGGACATGGCCCGGGCGGCGGGACAGGGGCGGGGACAGGGAGGCCTGCCTGCATCGGGGGGAAGAGCGGGTCCTCGTCGGTCTGGCAGCCCACGGACCTCCAAGTGTGGGGTGCGGGAGGGGGAGGGGTGGGGCCCCGCACACCCTCCTCCCGAAGCCCTGCCGCAGCACTCAGGACCCCAGGGGAACCTCGGGCAAGAGTGGAGGGCCCCAGGGAGGAGGGGGCAGGCAGGCTGGGTGAGGGAGAAGGGCTGCGGGCTGAGGCGTCTTTGTGCTGCCGGAGCAAAGGGACAGGAGAAAGACGAGAAGCCAGAACAGAGAAGGTTCTTCTTAGGGGAACGGGGGAGCCGGGAGGGAAGACGACCTGGGCAGAAGAAAGGAGGGAGAGAGATGAAACAGAGCGGAGGAGCGGGGAACGGCGCCATCCCCCAGGCTCCCCCTGGGCCTTCCCACCCTGGCACCAAGAGTGAGGCCAGCCTCACCAGGCCACAGGCTGCAGCACCCCTTCCCCCGCCCTCCCTCACACACCACATCTCCCCTCCAGCCATCCTGGGCAAGAGCCTCCTGGTCTGGCCCTGGCCCTGGCCCAGCCCCGGGCACCTCCTTGCTACCTTCTCTACAAGCTGCCCCCCAGCCCGCCTCCCACGAGGCTTCACAGTGATGATGACACCCTCGGTCAGCCAGTCCTCGGCGGGGGCCCCCGCTGCCCCCGCTGCCCCGGTTGCCTCCGGCTGGATGCCCAGCCGACCCTGCAGCTCTGCGATGAGCCGCTCCTGGGAGGGGATTCTGCTCAGGGTGGCGGGGTCCAGCCGGCGGCGAGGGGAGGGCTCCCGGGACATGGGGTGTGCGTGGCCCGTCTCCCGGCTCCTCCTGATCACAGAGCGGATCTGAGGGGGGGGAGGGGAAGCTGTCACTGTCCCGCTCTGGGCTCAGCCCAGGCTGCTCAGTCCACACGCAGGTGCCCCGGGCAGGAGGAGAGGGCAAAACAAGACTGCCAGAGAAGAGCCAAGCAGAGGTGAGGTGGAGGCAGGGGGCAGAGCAGACCCTCCACCCAGCGCTCACCTCCAAGTCAGCAATGACCTTGGGCAGGACTTCACCTCCAGGGGCCTCAGCTTCTCTATCCTTGAAATGGGGTTAAAGTATTTTCTTGGCTGCCTTACGGGGTTATTCCAAGATTCTTTGAAAGGATGTAAGTGGATATTCTTGAAAAGGCATAAGGCTCTTTATTTGATCTGTCGTGGAAAAATGTGATCTTTCCTGCCAGTAAATCTTTTAATTAGTTTTCTTTTCCTGGTGTATATTATAACCTGCTCATTTGTAGTGCTTTTGGATTTTTTGTTGTTGCTCTAGTCTGCTTTTTGGAAAGGACATAAAATTTTAATCGAGCAAGAAGCAAGTAAGAACAATAACATCAGCCATGCCTTATTGAGGACCATGTGCTGTGTTCTCAGCACTTTACAGGCATTACCTCATTTAATCCTTGGACAATGATCAGGGGAAATGGTCTATTATAACCCCATTTTCTATTTTTTAAGTAGGCTCCACACCCAACATGGGGCCCGAACTCGCGGCCCCGAGATCAAGAGTGATACGCTCTACTGACGGAGCCCCCCAGGCCTCCTTACTATTACCCCCATTTTAAGATGAGAAAGCTGAGGCTGGTAGGGGTTTGCCCAAGGTCACACAGGGCAGCAGGTACTGGAAGCGTGGTTTGTATTCAGTACGATCTGGTTCCAAAGCCCATGCTTTTAACCATTTCACACACATCACGGCAGGAGCTCGGGGGTAGTCCATCCAGAGGAAAGAGCCTTCAAACAAGCAGGAGGCGGACTGTCACTAGGAGAATTTCCAGGGCCCAGAGGCTCCACTGGCCCCGCAGAGCCCACTGCTGAGCCCTGGTCATCAGGGTCACAGGCCACGCGATCTTGGGCTTGCCGCCCAAGCAGACATGCACAGGGTGGAGGCTCCATGCGGTTAGCCAGGCGTGGCCCACACTCAGGCCGCCCAGGGGCCATGCCCAGCGGCCGTGCGAGCTTGCGCCTGCCTGGCCAGAGCTGCAAATCCTCTCAGTCATGCTGGGCGTGTCCGTGACCACGGCAGGTGGAAACTCCGGCTGTCCCCTCTTGGCCTCGGCAGCAGCTTCGGTGGCGCCCCCTGGCCGCGTGGGGGTGTCGGGTCCCTGGGTGGGCCTGACCAGCCTTCCCCTCACGGCTGTCTGTCCACCTAACTGCTCCTCGTCAACTGGGGCCGGGCGGCTGCTTTCCGGCTCCCCTGGCTCTGGCTCTGCCCTCCGCTCCCGCTGTCCACATTCCTTTGTGAGATTCCAGGTGTCTGGGAAGACAGCCTGCCGGTCCCCGGCCACGACAGCTGGCTCAGGTACTTCCTGGAAGCTGGGTGTGGCTCCGCTGGGGATCTCAGGCCTGGGCGCCTCCAGAGTCCACAGCTGCTCCCGAGCGGCAGCCATGGCTTCCTCTGGGTACAAGGGGTTGGCCAACAACTCCTGGGGACCTACGCACCCAGCTTGGCGGGGTGGTGTGTGGCAGGGGGGCGCCCTGGAAAGCTCATTTGTAAGGTTTGGTAGGTTTCCCCAAACCTGAGCCTGGCTCTCTGCACCAAACGGCCCCAGAGAACCCTCCACAGAGGGAGACCTTGACCCGGGAGTGTCAGGTGTCGCCTGGAGGCCAGCCAAATCAAGCCAGCTGGGAGCCACAGGAGGTAGAAGGCCCCACCCATTAACCTGGTCCTCCAAGCAGAGGATCTCCTGGGTGGGAGCATGGCCTCCAGAGGGGAGCTCAGTAGTGGATGGCAAGAATACAGAGAGCCCAGGAGGAGGAGGAGAAGAAGGTATGTGGTGTGGGGATGGAGCCGGTTTGGGAGGCAGCCCCAGGGAGCTCAAGGCCACAGCAGAGGAGCTGGTCTAGACAAAAGGCAGAAAGGAGAGAGAGAGATGGGAGAGGTGAGGAGAGGTGCTATCTGCAAAGGGTGGGCTTGGCCTGAGGGCTCTGAGAGCCACCATCGACAGTGACCAAGACCAGACCGAGGTGGCTGAGAACCTGAAGCATGGGGACTGGCCTGCGGAAAAGACCCAGACCCCACAAAGGTTTTCCTGGGCTCCACATCCCTGGCCCCCATCAAACCCAGGCAGTAGAAAGCCGCCACTGAGCCACGCCTGTGGGGCCACCCCAGTCAGAGTAGGGACAAGGGAGAAAAGGCTACAGAGGGTGGACCATGGGAGACAGTGACCAGGAAGGGCAGCCCAAACACTAATTGAGAGAGAGTCGGCCGCAGGCAGCTGCTCTGCTTCCTCCAAACTTTGCTCAACCTGGCTGTCTCCCCCAGACAATCCTAGCCTTCCTGCGTCCCCCAAGACCTTCATCTTGGGGCACAGCTACAACCAGCGCAGCTTCTTGTGGGCACTGCAACGCTGGGCTGTCTCAGAAAGTAAAAACAGGGGCGCCTGGTGGTTCAGTCGGTTAAGCGTCCGACTCTTGATTTCAGATTGGGTCATGATCTCAGGGTCCTGGGATCAAGCCCCACATCAGGCTCCCGCTCAGCAGAAAGTCTCTCTCTCTCTCTCTCTCTCTCTCTCCCTCTGCCCCTCCCCCTGCTCATATTCTCTCTCTCTCTCTCTCAAATAATCTAAAAAAAAAAGGGTAAAAACAGCCTAAAGGGTGGTAGCGCAGGGCTCCCCAAGGCCAACACCAAAGCCCAAGGGATTTGTTTCTGATGGTGGCCACTCACCACCCACAACCACTGGCACGTGAGGGTCACAAGCCCAGGTAGCTCCCATCCCCCACTGTGAAACCCCAGCTGGAGGGACTCTTGGAGGTACCCTCAGGGCCAAGAGCACTCAGATGGCCTGCTCCCCTTCTCAGATTCCCTTCATGCCCCAAAGATCTCAGGCAGACCCACGTGGAAGGGTGAAGTCAGCAACTGCTGGAGATCAGTCAGGCACTGCATCTTCTAAATAAAACATCTTGGGTCTGGCAGGCCTGAAGAGGCCCAGGACGGGAGAGGAAGGGATGCCACATGCAGGACTGGCCCAGGAGCCTAAGGGGTTTCAGTTTCCCACAGACAAAACCTGTTGGGGCTCAGGCCTGTGGAGGGTGGGGGGAAGGATGGAGGGAGGCTGGTAAAGGAGACCTGTGCATTCAGAAGCCAGAGGCAGACAGAAAAGGGATGTGCTGAGGACAGACAGCCAGTGTGGGAGACGGGGCTCCAGGGCAAATGCCCTCTCAGGCACAGGATCCCAGTCCTACACGGCCCAGAAGAGAATGCCCTCCCCCCCGCAAAGAGCAACCATCAACACAGAACCCTTTGTCCCAGCCTCCCGATCCCCTTGCCTGGGTGGCTGGGAGTTGGGAGCAACCCGGGAGGAAGGAATTTCCCTGCTAAGTGCTTCTCTGCCCTCAGATGCCATGAGGCAGCCCAGTCCCCATGAAGCCTGGTCTGACCCTCCCTCCCCAGCATCCTGGCAAGGCCAGAGCCCCGGAGGGTCCCTGGCTCAGGGTGAGGCACCCAAACACTGAGGGCCCGAGTTCCAGCTACTCACGCTGAGGTAGAGGGGAAGAAGAATGTGGGGGCAGGGAAGAGGAGGGGTCTCGGAGCACCTTGAAATCCGAAAGGGAGGCCATCAGCTCGTCCAGCTCCCTGGTGGCCGAGGAGGCTGAGATGCGTGTCTGCTGCTGGCTGGAGGTCACTCGCTGAGGGCTGCTCATCTCACCCTGGTTCACAGTGATGGCAGGGCTGCAGGGCGGGCACGGCATCAGTGGGGACCCCAGAGGCCAGCTCCGTGTTCCCCCAGAGTGGGCCTCTCCTCTCCAGGGTCTCAACATCTCAGCTCTCACATGGGGGCCCCCCTCCAACTCCAGAGAAGCCCACCAGCTCGCGATCGCAGCCGTGGGAACAGAGTGGAGGTAGGAGGTGCGAGAGAGAACAGCTCGACGGGCCCCTTGCTCAGGAGGACAGCTCTGGCCCTCCCAGCCCGAGTCCAAGCTCGCCTGTTGAACAAGCCCAAGCACCACATGTACCCCCCCCCACAACACCGCATGTACCTGTGAGACTGCTCCAACAACACAGTAACCCCAAGAAGGGCTAACATTTAGTAACCACCAACCATCCATGTGCGTTATGCGCTCCGAGCCAGAAACCATTCCAGAAACTTCACGTGTATTATCGGGTCTCATCCCATCAAGGCAGGTGGCCTTATCGCCATTATCCTATACATCTCTTTATCCCGTTTTATACACAGGAAAACTAAGGCCTGAGAGACAACACTCGGTAAGGACAGAACCAAGATCCGAACCCTTACAGCGTGGCTCCAGACCCTGCACAGATAGCCACTAAGCTACTGGCACCCTCGGCATGCACAATGTCATCTTTTCTGATGGTTGGGGGCTCACTGAAGGCAGGGAGGGTGTCCATGGGACTCCGCGAAACCCCCAGTGCCTGGTCCAGGGCCTGGCAAACAACAGGCGCTCGCAGAGGGAAGGGGTGACAACTGGGCCAAGCCAACAGACACCGGAGCCCAGCACTGGCTGGGCAAGACCTCCTCTGCCCGGGAGAGCCCAGTGATACTCACACGGGGCTGGGCACGGAGCTCTCCAGTTCATCCAAGAGACTCTCCACACTGGGCCGCACATCCTCCAGGCCACGGCCCCCATTCCGCTTGGGCTTCTCTTTCATCAGAGGCCCGGCTTTGCCTCCCAGTGGGCTGTTATTCTCTGGGATGCCATAGTGGGGGGTCAGAGCCCCAGGCAGCGGGGGACTTGAGTTGGCCTCATCTTGGAAGAGCAAGAGAGAAAGGCTGCTCAGCCCTGACCCCTCTGGGGATCCAGAGGCCAGCAGGTGGGCCCAGGGGGCCAGTCCTACCTGCAGGGAAGCCCGGGGGGTTATGCTGCACCGCGTTCAGTTCCAGCAGCAGGCGGTCGAGTTCAGAAAGGTTGCTGCCCAGGGAGGAGCTCATCACCGTGGGTGAAGGCTCGGCCGACTTCTGCTTGTTGGGGAAACTGAGAGGCAGAAGGGAGGCCACCGTGAGAGGCACCCCCCAGCTTTGGCAGCCCCCCCAAGACTCCAGGGGATCAAGGTGGCGTGGGTGTGAAGTCTCCCCCAGCAAGAGATGCGACAGCGGGGAAGGGATGTGCTGAGAAGAGGGGAGGAAGGAAGTCTTGCCTCAGTTCCTCAACGACACACGGGGACGTGACAGCCCAGCCCTGCTACTGCCTGGGGATGGCAGTGCTACAGCCGCCGGGCTAGCCCAAGACAGGATGAGCTGGCCGGCAGCCTCGGGGCCTTGTGCGGGCTGCTGCCAGGCCGGACCCCTGGCCCTGGCGGGGAAGGAGCGCTCGGAGGGCTGCGTCACTACCTGTAGACGTGCTCTTCCTCAGCGGCTCGGGAACACGGGGGGCCGGCGCCGTCCTGGGGGACAGAGGCGCTGCAGGTTTTGGCACTGGAGCCGTACACGGGTGACGGGGACTGAGGCTGCAGGGAACAGAATGCTCAGAGCTTCCCCCGAGGGGAGGAAAAGGAACAGCCCGAGTCACCCCCAGGAGGCTCCTGCTCACAGACCGTCTCACCAGGGAATTCCCACACTCCGGCCAGGAGACAGGTGATTAATACTTGGTCACTTGCCCCCTCACGTGGCCTCTGGGAGACCCGGCCGTTTCCTGGCCCCTCTCCCCATCGCCCTGATCCCATTTGTCCCCTGGCTCCCCAAGCTGCTGCCAGACAAGCTCCTACTGCCCCAAAGCCTCGGTTCCCTGTCTACCCGGCCCCTGGCCCCACCTTACCTGCTGGTGGATGAATCGGGAGGCACTGGGCTGCCACTGGTCTAGGGGGTCAAGAACCGTGCCATTGAGGGCCTCACTGGACGGGGGTGGCGGGACAGGGGGCGGCACGGCAATCTCCTGGTATGTGTGGTTTCCAGTTGGGTAGGAGTAGGGGGTCTCCTCAGACAAGAACACGGGCCGTTTGGAGATGTGGGAGGTGGTGGACTCCAAGTCTGCCAGCAAGGCGTCTGCAGAGAGAACACGCTCAGAGCTGGTAGGAACCAGGGATCCTGGGAACACACCGTCCAGTGGCAGTGCCCTCCCGGCCTGCTGCACCCAAGAGTTAATGACTTCTGAGCACCTGCCCCACCCCTGGGAGAAGGAAGCCTCGGGCCAGGAAGCTATCAGCCCAGACCAGCCTGGCTAAGAACCAGCTTCTACTGACCTCTTCTCCCCAGCCCAAGGCTGAAGGGGCTGTGGAGGCTCCTGGGCTGCCCTTGAGGCTCTCCTACCTCTGGCACTCGGGCACCTGCGTTCCCTCCCAACAGGGCTGTGCAGCTGGCTGGCTGGAAGTCAGAAATGCCTGCCTAGAACTCGGCACTCTGACTCCACAGGGTAAGGCGGGGAGAATGGGCGGGAGGGGCCCCACGTCATGGGGAGGGGCCCAGGCAGTGCCAGGTCCCACTTAAATTCCAGGAGCTTGGGCTTTCTCAGCAAACCACCCCCGCAACTGGAGTGGTCCCTGGGGTATGGTACCTGCCTTTCTGACCAGGTAGAAGCAAAACCGCACGCTCCATGCTCCTCCCGAGGCCCTGGGCTACAGGGTAAGGTACGTGGGGAGGTGGGGGCTGGGTCAAGGCTGGTGCAGTGTTCCCCACCCCCTCAGCTGAGCAGGGGGCAGGACTGCTCTGTAGGCTGTTTCTGCGGAAGCCTGGCAAGCAGCCTGGCCCCAAAGGCTCCAGGGCCCCGCTACTTTGCTTTTAACAGCAGAAGGGAGTCGAATCGAGTGCAAGCTTCCATTACCCTGGCACCGGGCGGCCAACAGGGGGGCCCTGGATCTCCCCAGTCTCCAGACAAGAGAAGAGCTGGAGGGGCAGGAGTAGGAACCGCCGACAACCCCTCAACTTTAACCCTCCCCTCCTGAGACCCTCAACAGCCCCACAGCCCAGAGAGCCTGGCCCCAACACCACACCCTCATTCCGACCATATTCAAGGACTTGCTCACTCTCACTTTCCATGCCGACCTGCTGGGGGTCAGAAATGTCAGTCCCTGGCCCTGAGGATATCATTTACCAGAAAGCAATGGCTGTATCTACACCAATCCCTAAGAACAGGCACCGTGCTAGGCACTGTGTGTATGGGGTCTCTCCGTGAATCCTAAAACACTGGATAAAAGCTGGAATTCTGATCCTCCCTTTACAGACGGGGAAAGGGGCTTCAAGAGGTGGTGGAACCTGCCCAGATAACAAAGCCAGTGAGAGACAGGACTGTCTGGCTCTCCAGTAGCCCCAAGCCCCAAAAATCTGGCCCGCAAGAGTCCGCTGTGATCACAACATGATGCCATATTTAAACGGCACAACTTCCTGACTGTCGGGGCCCGGGCTGATCCTTCTTTATGCCCTGTTCTCAACCCTACCCCTGCTCGGTAGAGGGAAGCAAGGGGGGCCCACACCTCCCAGCTGCCTGCCCTGCCCTCCCGCCCCCAAGGCTGGCCACATCTACCCCCAGCTCTTACCCAGACGGTCAGAAGGGGAGCTTGTCACAAGGCCCAGGACCCTGGGGCCAGCAGCCCGGCATAAGGGTCTCCTGACTTCCGAGGAAAGTCAGTTCCTGCAGCCCTCTCCCCCTCCAGATCCTAAGAGTCTGGCTTCCCGTCTCTAGCAAAGCAGAACTAGAGGCCATCGGTGTGTGCCTAGGTAATGACGGAAAAGGAACCGGTGTCCAGGGCCAATCTCAGTGGCCTCTGAATGGCCGCACCTGCTGCCTTGGCTTCACACGGCATCCCCACTTCCCCTGGGCCCGATTCAGCAGGGGCAGGGTCTCCCCTTTTCCATCAAAGGCAGAGCCAGCTGGAAAACCCCACAGGGCTCCCCCAAGCAGGCACCACGTACAGCCCCACTGGGAGTAACAGGAGGGGCTGCCGCGCCTGACGGCCCCCCAGGAGCTTTACCCCGCGTTCCTTCCCTTCCTCCTCACAGCAACACCAGCGCAGAGGGTAAAAGTGAGGCGCAGAGAGGCAGAGTCACGTGCCCAGGCTGCCAACGCGGGCTGACGGGACCCGGCCAGGATCTGAACTCGGGGCTCTCAGGCTCCTCTCAACAGAAGACAAATGGTTAACGTATCCCATCAGACCCTCGAGGGAGGGCCTCCTCGGTCCTCTGCCTCGAATCCCCTCCCCCTCCCCCAACTCTAAGTCTGGTTTACAATTTCACTGGGTTCTTTTACACACTGATGCATCTGTTGGTCAGAAGGAGCAGTCCTAGGGGGACAGAAACAAAAGGTCCCAGGAGTTCAAGTCCTAGCTCCTCTATCTAATCTCCACGGCCACACAGCCAATCCCTTCGCTTCCCTGAGCCTCAGCTGCCCTGGCAAGCTGGGGTGCATAATTCCTACCTCACAGTATCGGTGTGAGGTCTACATGGGATGGCAGATACTACAGTACATGGGAAGCTGCAAACATCAGATCTTATTTGTTTTGTGAAATTCTGAAAAACATCTTCCTCCAAGGAGGTCAGGGTAGGATGCAAAGTACTCACCACTCCTACATCTTCTATGGGTAGAATCTGGACAAGACATGACAAGGGCAACCCTCACAAGAAAAGCGAAGGAATAAAGTAATATTCAGAGTGAAGCGTGTGTGGACGCCAGGGGAAAAGCACATCAAACGTGTGTCTGCCTGAGCGGGAGAGCACATGCACGAGGCACTCCTTCTCTCTCTGCACCCTCAGTCGTTGCTCAGTGACTGCACAGGACGTGGTGTCACTGTCTCCCCAGGGCTCCCCACAAATGCCTCAGGGAAAGGAGCCAGGAATATAGGAGGCAGCCAAGGAGGCCTCTGGCCTCTACTTTGGTTTTCTATGGGTTCAGAAGGTCACTATGTCCCCAAAGACTGCAAAATGGTTTCGGGCCAAAGTCTCCTTGCAAGCTCAGCAAACTCCTCCCCTGCTTGAGTTAACCCAAAGGTGGCAGAGGGAAGAGTGCTCAGGGGAGTCCACTTGCAAGCAGTACCCCATGGGTGGGTCCTCCAGTTTTCAGCAACATCTACTGCCTGGTACCTAGCTCTAAATACCCGACGGCCGGGCTCAGAGTCCTTCTACCCAGACCCCAAAGAAGGTGGAACACCATCCCCCTCCCAGTGTTTGTAGGATCCACTCCAGATACACAGACGCAGTACCAGAAGGTGGGGGGCAGGGAGGCACTCCTTCTTCCAAGCTAAGAAGGCTCCAAACGTCCTGAGCATTTCTCCATAAGTTTCTGGGTCCAAGCCTGAAACCTGCGGACAAGTCAGGGCCACCAGGACCACCCAAGCCACCCTGCGGAAGGAAGCTCTCCCTGGGGCTTCCCATCCCTTTTCTGGAAGAAACCACCCTAGATGCTGCAGGCTTTTTGCCTCTCTGGGCCAGCTGATGCATGTCCTGACAGAAAGTGGAAGTCTCTGGGTGAGACCGTCCGATGTGTGTGTGCCAGGGGGAGGGGGTTCTCCTCTCCAGGTAGATGGGGGAGGGGATGGCAGGCCGGGGGCAAAGTCTCCAGCCCACCAGGGGCAAAGGACACCCAGCTCCGCCCCGGCGAGGAAGGAGTGCGGCCCATCCACTGCTTCCCGCCAGAGGGCGCTATTGGGCCGTCGGCTCCCAGCGGCAGGCACCGTAACCTAAGGTAAACTCGCGCAACCACGGAATTTTCGAGCCGGGGAAGACCGGGGAGCCCCTGCCATGGGCTCCCGGGGGAAATTTCAACCCCGAGAAAGCTCGGTGAGCTGGAGGGACGGAGCAGCTACGGGAGGAGCACGAGGAGATGCCAAACCTCCCACCCATGTCTGGGGCACACGAACATTTGAAGGCACGACCGAAGAGTGACGCAGCCCCACGGGGCTCCGGAGACTCACAGGGACGCGTGCCCCTCCGCAGACGCAGCGCCGGCGGGCGCCCCCGTCCCCACCCCGCGGCCGGGCCTGGGCCCAAGCAGCCGCTCAGATCAGGGGCGCCTTCGGACCCGCAGGCCGCTCGGGAGCAGGCGGCCGGGGCGGGCAGGGCACACCCGGCCAGGCCGAGACGAAGAGGCCCTTTCCGGGGCCCCAGCGACCCGCCGAACGTAATCCTGCGGGCCTGGCGGGCGGGACGGGGAGCAGGAGCCTCGGGGTCTGCAGCCCCGAGGGGGTTGAGGGAGTTAAGACGCAGCCGTCCCCGTCTGGCTGCCCAGGGAGGGAGGGGATGGAGGGGCCGGTCTGCCTGCATTCCAGGATGCAAGCCGCAGCTGCGCCCCTCACATTCCCAAACCAGCCCGGGGATGCAGGACAGGGGCAGCCTGGCCCTCCTCATGTCCCCCAGACTGTGGCTCTGGGGGACCTAGGCTGACCCACTGACACATGACACCCTATAATAAGCTAAAGAGATGCAATGAACCCCTTCCACCTCCACCTCCAATGAAGTATAAAAACAAGTTAGACTCACAAGCCTGGCTTCCTCCTACCCAAGCCCTGGCCATTCTTGAGTGTGTGATAAAGACTGCCAAGACCAGAGTTGGGCAGATGCCAAGAGATAAAGGTCTATCATCCACCAGGATCCCTCTAGTGGGGGAGGGGGGCGGGGGTGTGGGGGAGGGAGGACCCAGGACTACTCCATTCTCTCCTCCCAGGCTCTAAAGACACTAGATGTTAGAACTTGCACAGGGGGATTCTGAGTCGCAGATTCTGCTCGGCGGCCAAGCTGCTCAGCTGGGCTGCTTAACGGTTCTTGTGCCCCAGTTTCCTTGTCTGTCTGATGGGAATTCCACCATTTTACTCACAGGAGCAAGGAATATCATGAAAAAATGGATACACCGTGCTTGCTTAGCACTGTCCCTGGAAGAGAGCACACTCTCAGTAAACTGCTAACCTGGGGGGAGCTGGCTCCCAGAGAGATGGTGAGCCCCGGAAGGGAAGAGAAAGCGCCTCCCCTTCCTATCCCAGTCCCGAGGCAAAGGATGAGCAGTTTGGGGCACCACCCTGGGGAAAAGAAAGCCACCCTGGAGAAGCCTCCGCACCAGGTCT